AAAAAAAAAAAAAAAAAAAGTAACAGCAGTAAAAATGATTGCTGATGCAAACTGAAGGTTAAAATGTGGAATTTTCGCTTGGATAATTTTCATTGAAATCCTTCAGTTCAGGATTAATGTCATGTTAAGAATTGATATGAATTCTGTTCAGTTCTCTATGTTTTGTACAATGCTGTTTTTCATTGTAAGTGTTTTTTGTAAGTTTGCAAATAGATTTCAAGTTTATTACAATCAGTCAATCAGGATTAAGGTGAGCGAGGTATTGTATATTCCTGAAGTCAAGGAATCAGTAGCAGGGTCTGTAAAATTAAAAAATATAAAGGAAACAATCTTTTGTGCAATAGAAAATAAATTTTATAAGTTAAATATCCCTTATCTGAAATCCCTAGGACCAAGAGTGCTTCTACTTTTAAAATATTTGTATGAAATGAGATCTTGGGAAACAGGACCCAAATTTAAACATAAAACTTTTTAATGTCTTATATGCGCCTTAAATACATACCCTGAAGGTAATTTCATGCACTATTTTCAGTGTACCTGTATTTTGACTGTGACCCATCATATGAGGTCAAATCGGAATTTCCTACCTATGGCCATCTTGTAAGTTCTCAGAAAGTTTTAGATTATGGAATATTTTGGATTTTGGATTTCCATATTAGGAATGCTAACCTGTACTGAGACTGTGGGAAAATATATATGGGCTAAAAATAAGTCTTTCTGAATCTGATTCTACGTGTAATAACCATCTGGAAAAATAGAAGTGATTGCCTCATGAACAATATGACAAAATTATCTTTATATGTTAAATTTCAATACCGTCATATCTACTAATTGAAAAATCCATTCTCATTTTATGTGTATTTAATAGTACCATTTACTATCTCTGAAACTTCTAAAGACATGATTATAATTACGGAGTAGATGCATATAGTTAGTGTGCTTGATATTGCCTCAGACTTAGTTTTGTTTTTTATTTTGTTCAGCCACGGTCTCACTATATAGTTCAGGCTGACCTTGAATTTACAGTGTAGCCCAGGCTGGGTTCACACTTGTGATGATCTTCCTGCCTCAGCTCCCAAGTACTGAGATGACAAACACGTGTCAACATGCCTGGCTTATACTACCCCAAACTTCACTGGTCTATATTGGCATTGGCCTGCCTAATAAATTTGTATCTTGAAAAAGAAAAGGAAGTTTGTTAAGAGGAGCACAATACCAAAGAATAGAAAGTAACACCCGTAGGTTTCAGAGCCGGCACAGTACTGCCTAACAGTGGAATGTCTGTCTGTTCTTATTTTGAAACATCGTTACCCTTCCATCCTGGCCAAGACTTTTTAAGGCAGATACTAAGTTTCTCCTTGAAATCTTCACCACCTTTTGGTGAAATGGTGGAGAGGAACTCAGCACTCAGGATACTTGAGAAACATCTGAAATGCCTGGATTTTTTTTGGTAGGAGCAAAAGGGATGAGATACATCTAGTCTAGATATAAAGTGACTATTAAAAAATTCCTAATGTGTTACCACTGCCAAAATCAAATAGACCAGGGTCCAGATGCTACATCTGGAGATATATCTAGTGTGAAAGAGTTTTGGGCAGAGTAACAGACAGCAGAGCTGTTGCCCAATCAAACAGATGAGCTGCAGCTCCTGTACCTCATTCCAGCTCATTTTAAGTGAACAGGAATGTAGCCTACACAATTGTGGGCCGGATGGTTGCTAAAAAGATGCCAAAGACAGAGGATAATAAAGATTGTGGGAAATTGAGGTACTACAAATAGCAAAAGACAGTACACTGCATGCTTCCCCCCAAGACGTGGGCGTCCCAACGCCCCAGTGTCACGTGGCCTTTCATTCTGCCACCTGCCAGACTGAGGGCAGGGGAATGGTGGTTAATACCTTCCTGCCCCACCTTAACCCTGCTCCACCTGTTTACCACATGTAAGCAACAGGTACAAAACATTATGGCTGACATTATGTCCACTTCACTAAGGGAAGCAGGGTAACTTCTTCAGCAAATATAGACATTAAGCTGAAAAGAAGTGCATTTCTGCATTTCCCTCCTTGACCTCAGTTTCTGTATTCTCATACTATCCCTGCAGCAAGCTTATTGTTCTTTATTTTGTACAGTATTTCTCACAGCTTAAGGAGAAAACATCCTGCCACAGTACTTGAACTAATGAGATGATATTGTTCTATTTAAGCAAATTAAGGCACTACACATTCTTCAAGTGTTTTATGTCTTAGACACTTTTTTTTTCATGAAAAATTTCTGGGAGGATGAGGCAGGAAAATCACAAGTTTAAGCCTAGCCTAGACAATTTAGCAACCTAGTATAACCACATCTGAAAAGAATTAATAATAATAATTAAAAGGGTTGGGTATATAGCTCACTGCAAAGGCCCTGGGTTTAACGCCAGTACCACAAGAAAAAGAAACATTTTATTATTTTGTACGTACCAGTCCTTGTGTTATATGTAAAATGAGATGTCTCATTTCATATTCAAAATAAGCATATGTGGTTAAATCTATTATCTTTCCCTTTTCACAAATGAGGAAAGTAAAACTTAAAGAAGTTAATTTCCCTAACTTCCCACAAGTGTAGAGACAGGAAACAAATAGATTTGGATGACAAACTTACACTAAGTCTTTTCCAAAGTTCTCAAAAAGTAGTTGATGCTATTTTATCTCATAGCTTACTGACAGTGACAATATTGGGCACATAGGAAAGTGTTTCATGTGTTTTTTAAAAGCTTTGGTGCTGCTGGGAATTGAACCCAGAGCCTTGTGCATGGTAAGCCATTGTTTTTAACCACTAAGCTATATCCCCAGCCCAGTACGTTATTTTTAATTTTTTAATGATGATGGAATATCCAAGTTTTGGACAAAGTTTGGATAAGAAACAATTCACACATACATAACTTCACAGAAAAGATGGTCCTTCATTAGTTAGAAATCATTTAGAAATGATACTCATTTTGTTTGTAGTGACAGTAAACACCAGTACTAGCAGTTATTCAATGTAATTTGGTTTCCACTTCAAGAATCATTATATTCTTTTTCTTACCATGTAAGAAAGTATAAGTTTGATGAGTGTTTACAAATATGTAACCTAAACCTTTTTTGAAAATTTAGAACATGCAATTATCCAGAAAGTTCTACTTCTCCAGCCTGGTCCACCCCTACCCACCTCTCAGGTACAGTTACTGTTCTGATTCTTTTGTACCCCAGTTTAAACTTGCCTATCATAAAACTTAATAAAATTTCTTTCAGCATAGTGCTTTTGAGGTTTATTGATATTGTTGTGTGTGTCGGTGTATTCACTTTTATTTCTAAGTGTTCTTTCATATGAACATGTCACCATTTTTCTGTCTTCCTGTTGATGGAGACCTGGGATGATTCTGCCTTTTTTTTTTTTTTTTTCCTCTTACAAATAAAGCTGCTATGGACATTCTTGTAGAAATGTTTGTGAATGAACTCCATAACTTATTTCTCTTGTATAAGTTTCTAGGGTTGGAATTTTCTAGTCTTCCAGTAGGTTATGTTTCATTTAATAAGAAACTGCCAAACCATTATATAAGCCCGCAACAGCATATGAGACTTCAAATTGTTTTATATTTTCTTTACACATGTGGTTGTTTGTTTGTTTGTTTGTTTTCCTTAGCATTTATGGTAGATGTGTAATCACTTCTAGTGGATACTCAGATTGTTTTTACCGGTGCCCAGCCACCCTCATGTCAAGTTGATCTCTTTACCCTTTTCCGCACCACCCCCGCCCCAGGAACTACTGAAAACAATTCTTTGTGATAATAGTTAAGATGTCCCAAAACTCAGTTTGAATTACTCTTTATCAAACGTGGAATACATTGCTCCCCAAGGAACCCTGACTCCTTTAATAGAGAGTAATGCTAGGGAGCAAATTTGGGTTCTAAGAGCACATATTCAATCCTGTCACATAACTGCCGGAGCTGGACAAAGTGGCATTGTAGAATAGGCTTCATAATCTGAGTAGGAAATGACTTCTTTATTGAGGGTTTTGAGTTCATGTTACTTCTAAATCAGATGAGTTTTCTTCCTAATATGAAAGTGTATTAAACCAGTTGATCCTCCCATTAACTGGAGTTCACACTACATATTGTATGATACCAAATACAGTGGACCCTTGACTTAACCCATTCAACAGGTTCTCTAGGGCCGGTTGTAACTCAAGTTGGTTGTAAGTCAACACAGCTGAGAGCTGGATGTTTACCTGGGTACGTGCTATAGATAACAAGAGGCAGATTAATCTTCCATTAACCTAATTAACCCAAGTTGTTTGTATGTTAGGCTGGTCATAACTTGAGGGCTCACTGTAATATATTCAGGTTTCAGAACTGCTCCAAAATTTAAAATATTTTATTTTTCTTTTACTCTCAAGTGCCCTAGAACTTGTTCCAAAGGATGCAGGCCCACTCTCTTTAGTTACTTGAGCCCTATGTAGATTAAAGGTGGGGAATGGGCTTCTCAGTTTCCTTTCCAGGCCACTAAAATATACCATGCACAGGGCACTAGGATCTCAGAATCCTATGTGATTAATAGACAGCAGAAATGAGAAGGCGGTTTCAATCAACAAAAGCCTTTACAATTTGTCTGATGCTGTGTCCTCTAATTCCTTGCCGTCGTTGACAGTAGTGTCATTCTTTGTTTGAAACATTTGACTTTCAAAGAATTTTAGATAAATACTAAGGAAAAAACGACTGGATCATATATTGGGTGAATTTTTAAGATTGTTCTTCCAAATGACTGTACCATTTTATATTCCCATCATCATATATAATAATCCCAGTTTCCCTGTGTCCTTTCCAGCATTTCCTATATTAGTCTTTAATTTTAGACATTTCAATAAGTAAGACATGGTATCCTAATGTGGTTTTAGTTTATATTTCCCTGT